CAGATGAATAAATAAATAAATACAACTATAAATAAATAAAGACAGAGATAAATAAGTAAAGACATAGAGAGAAAACAGAGAGACAGAGACATAAACAAACAAATAAAGAGACAGAAGCAGACAGAAAGAGACAGATAGAGAGACAGAGACAGAGACAGAGAGACAAACAAAAACAAAAAAGAAGAGAGATAAGAAGAGACAGAGACGGAGACAGAGATAGAGATTAAGACAGACAAAGACAAACAACAAAAAAAAGACAGAAAGACAAAAGGAGACAGAAAAATAAAGAGATTAAAAAAGAAAAACAAAGACAAAGACAGAGACACCCAAACCCTAAACCCTAAACCCTAAACCAAGACATACAAATAAAAGTAAAAGCAAACAAATACAAACAAACGTAAAAGAAGAGGCGTAGAGCAACAGAGATAAGAGACGAAAAAGTAAAGATAAAAGAATAACAAAGATAGAGACAAAGTAAAGAAATAAAGCAGCAACAAACAGGAGACAGAGACAGACAACAAACCTCTCCGCAACAAACCCTAAACCCTAAACCCTAAAACCCCAAAGAAAACACAAAGAAGGAGACGCCCTGCTAACAAGATACGCTGGAACCCTAAACCCTAAACCCTCAACCCCAACTCTAAACCCTAAACCCTAATTCTAAACCCTAAACCCTAATTCAAAACCCTAATCTTTAAACCCGCACTCTAAACCCTAAACCCTAATTCAAACCCTAATCCCTAATCGTAAACCCTAGACTGTGCATATCACCTTTAAACCTAAACCCTAAGAATAACCCTAAACCCTAAATCTACACCCTAAACCCTAAACCCTAAACCCTAATTCCATAGTGGACTTTAATTGATTGTTAAACAAACAAAAGGAATACTTCAGCTGCTGTGCGTTGCTGCAGCAGCAGCAACTGTCTGCTGCTGTAACCGCATCAGCAGCAAAGAAATGCGGAGGCAACTTTTCCTGCTGCTGCTGCTGCTGTAACTGCAGCAGCAGCAAAGAACTGCGGAAGCAGTTTGATCCTGGTGCTGCTTCTAATCCTGCTGCTGCTGTTGCTGCTGCTGCTGCGCTGCCCAGCAGCACCTGAGCAGCAGAAAGTAGGGAAAAGAAGCACAACACAGGCAGCAGCAACAGCAGAGGCAGCAGCAGCAGCAGCAATATCATCAGAGCAGCAACAGCAGGCCCTGAAGCAGCGGCAAAAAAGAAAAGAAAGACAAGCAGAGCTGCTGCCTTTGCTGCCGTTGCTGCAACTGTTGTTGCTGCAGCTGTGGTTGGCGCACCAGCTGTTGCTGCAGCTGCTGTTGCTGTTGCTGCTGCTGCTGCTGCTGGCGCTGCTGGATGAAGAGGTCCCCTGCCCAGCTGTCTCTGCCTAAGGCAGCTTGCCTGCGAGAGAGAACGGATACAGCTGCTGCTGCTGCTGCTGCTGAAAGGAGACAGCTGCTGCATGCCGGGCTGCCCTGTGGCTGTACAAGAGGGTTTGGGGACCGAACCCTAAACCCTAAACCCTAAACCCTAAACCCAAAACCCTAAGAAGTTGTTGTTGAGGCTGTTTAGGCAATCTGTTGCTTCCGTTGAGGGTTTAGGGTTTCGGGTTGGCGTCTGGCTGTATGAGATGATCGCGTCTGAGGGTTTAGGGTTTAGGGTTTAGGTTCTGAATAGAAGTGTAGCCACCGCCATAAAGAGACAGGCAAGAGAGACATAAGGGCTTAATCTGTCTCCTATTACTGCGAGCTTCCCAGCAAAGCCTCTGAAACCCTGAGCTTTCTTGTCTATTAGACGCGGAAATGAAGGTCGCAGGTAGCTGCTGCTGCAGATAGACAGCAGCAGCACAACAAGCATAGCATGTAGGTTGAGAAGAGCCGTCATCTTCGTTAAGAAACAGCTGCTGCAGCATAAATCCTGCTGCTGCTGCTCCTGTTTGTTGCTGCCGCTGCAGCTACTCGCTGCCCTCCAGGTGCTGCTGCTGCTGCTGCAGAAGCACCTGCCTACTGCAGCAAAACAAAAAGGGAAGACAACAAGTATCTCTTGATGGATCTTTAATTTCTGCTCTACTAGCTGCTGCTGCTGCTCTTGCTGCTGCAGTTTGAGCTGCAGTTTCTGCAGCCGCCGCAGCAGCGGCGGCCGCAGCAGCACGAGCAGCAGCAGCAGTAGCAGCAGCAGCAGCAGCAGCAGCCGGCGTTGTGGGGGGGCACATTCTTGACCTTCAAAGAAATTTAGATTCAAGCCTTCTGCAGCAGCAAATATCTGCTGTGTCTTCTCCTGCATGCAGGCGCTGCGAAAGAACTACAATGCTCAGCAGCAGTAGCAGCAGCAGCAGCAGCAGCAACAGCAGCAGCAGCAGCAGCGTCGGCAGCGGCGCAGCTTCGGGTGCCTTTCTTAGGGAATTTCACTGTTAATCACTCTAACATTTTCTTTTGGCCTTCCTTCTCTCAGGTTTCAATAGCGGTTTAAATTTGAGTAGGGTTTTATGCACCTCTAAACCCTAAACCCTAAACCCTAGCCCTAAACCCTCCTGCATCAGTTCTTCCGTTGGTCGCTGAGAAGAACCCTCTCCACACAACAACAGAAGGGCCAGGCTTCTATGATTTCACCATTGGCTGCGGAGTTTAGGGTTTAGGGTTTAGGGTTTAGGGTTTAGGGTTTGGGGCCTGCGACTGCAGCCGCCCCCAAACAGAGGCGCCCCGCTCGCGCGAGAAGTACTCTTATCCATGGGTTGGAGCCATAGCAGCAGCTGCAGCAGCAACAGCCGCAGGAGCAGCAGCTGCTGCAGCCTCAGCGTCAGCCGCTGCTTCTGCAGCGGCGGCGGCAGCAGCAGCAGCAGCAACAGCAGCAGCAGCAGCAGCAGCAGCAGCATCCAACCTTCTAGTTTGTCTGACGACTCCCTGCCCATTTGCATGGAGTTGGATTAGTAGATTTTTTATTTCATCGAAAGGGAACGCATCACCAGTAGCAGCAGCAGCAGCAGCAGTAGCAGCAGTAGCAGCAGCAGTAGCAGCAGTAGCAGCAGCAGCAGCAGCAGTAACAGCAGCAGCAGCAACAGCAGCAGCAGCAACAGCAGCAGCAGCAGCAGTAGCAGCAGCAGCAGCAGCGACAATGAGTGACGACGAGACGGTGGTCCTAGTAGATATGCCTCTTATGCAGCGGAGGAGCAGCAGAAGCAGCATAAGCACATCGGGCAGCAGCAGATGTTCAGATACAGCAGGAGCAGCAGCAACATCAGCAGGAGCAGCAGCAGCAGCAGCAGCAGCAGAAGCTAATGACGCTGCTTTTTCTCTTACTGAAGATTATTTATCTGACAAAGAGAGACATCTCTCAACATCTAATTTAAGAGAGGAGTCGCTATTACTAAGAGATGAAGCAAATAGGTTTAAAGGGGTTTGGCTTCCAGTTAGTTGCATGCGATTGCTGCTACATCCTCGAT